GGAGGGAGGGGTGAGGGGAGGGGAGAGCAAGAGAAGAAGGGTGGAGAGGGAGGGAAGACAGGGGGAGAGAAGTATAGAAAGACTCACTTGGACTTTGCGGAGACTATATCAGGCAGGTAGGGTAACTTCTTCAGTTTGATGATGCTGTCGTAGAAGGAGGGCTGGAGCATGTTGGCCACTGCGTTGGCGATGAGGACCGAGATCTGTGGAGAGATGCCGGTGACAGATCAGTTGTGCTGCAGGTTGAAGAACCGGCATTAAGAGTACCCCCTGAGATCTCGCAGGTTGACGAACTGTCATTAGAGTACCCCCCTGAGATCTCGCAGGTTGACGAACCGGCATTAGAGTACCCCCTGAGATCTAGCAGGTCGAAGAACCATCATTAGAGTACCCCTTGAGATCTAGCAGGTTGAAGAACTGGTATTAGAGTACCCCTGAGATCTAGCGAGTTGCAGAACCAGCAGTCGACTACCCCTGAGATCTAACAAACGAATGCACAATATTTTTTTAAAAAAGGTAATGCATATCATAAAATCACACATACACACAAATGAGTGTCCTATTGGTATAATACGGAGATAAACTTGGACAAAAAGAAAAACTAACCCTCCCAGACACACACACACACACACACACACAAACAAACAAGAAAAATCCCCAAAAGAAACAACTCACCACGGCAGGAAGCACATGACTTATCTGTCCCGTCACCTCAAACACGATGACGGCCGTGGAGATGGTGCGAGTCACACTGCCAGATAGGCTCGCTGCTCCTGTGGCCAGAGAAATGACAACATCAAAGGTTAAAAAAACATGGAGTTACACAGATGGCCAAATAACCAAATCCTCTTCTGTCTAGCTTCATTCAATTAAATCATAAAACAACAGGGGGCTCTAGTGGTCTAGAGATCCGGAGTTCGCCTCTCATTCAATAACTTCAAAACCTGACAGTGACGGAAATATTTTCTTCATTAAAACCTCCATGTCGCTCATATGACCTTATGCAGTTGCGAGGGCCGTAAAACCCTCTACTATTAAAAAAAAACAAAAAAACTCCTTTCCTCTTCTCTAAACATGTTTTATCATCCGCTTTTAACTCCACTTTCATTGGCACTTGTATGACCTATTCGTGTTGCAAATGCCGTTAAACTTTTATTACTAAAATTACCCTCTTTAGTAACACCTCTAATCTTTGGCACATATACGACCTACACGTGTTCCGGGTGCTGTAAAACTCTTGCTACAACTAAACAAAAAAACACAACCACAGTCCACTCACCGACCACGGCGTATCCTCCTGGCACAATCTTCCGCACTATGTCGCCCGACGGGATACCCTCGGGGAACCAGGCCGCCATACTCTCTCCCACCAGTCGGCCAAACGCCGCTCCTGGGGAAGGGGAGACAAGTATTGACATCAGGAGAAATAGGACAAAAGGGAAGGAGAAAGAGGGAAAGACTGGGGTTGTTTTTTTTAATGTAGGCGTTTTTACTCTCCCATTAACCCCATCCGTACGCCCTGGGGTCATTTTGTACCCCCGGGGTTGTATTTTTCACATTTTAGAATACTTCTAGTATGAAGATCTCTTTGAAACTTTCAGTACTTCTCAAAAAATCATTTAGACAGACTGCTATGCAAAGCGTGCAGATCGGACTAACGAGTAAATTTCCTCTTTAGAAGTGATGGCACAGAGTTCCCCACGTCGTATGGATATGATAGTAAAACACGACGTACGGATAGGGTTAACAAAATAGGAACCTTTATGAGGTGAGCATCCAACCCAGCCTGTCAGGGGCAACCCGTGCAGAGAGAGGGGTACAACTCGTAGCCAAAAAGAGACTAAGATGCTCAAAAAAACATTTTTCTCCCCACTCAGGAACTGAAATCGGGTTTCCTGCGTGCCACAGCGAAATTCCCAACCACTACACCACAGATGCCGGTGAAACAGACGGACTGACGTATATGTTTTGTTTCCCCTTTCACATTCTACTCATTACTGAACATCTACAAAGCCGTTTTCTCCAAATCAATCATCCAGGCCTCATGTCCTTTCAAGTGATCAAATGTTCTTACTAAAAGACCCAAAATGCACCGAGATAGAGTACAAAACGCTCAGGACAAATGGGTTTTTTCTA